AGCCAGATGGAGCCTTACCTGCACTATATATAGAGATAGTGTTTTTATAAATCATGACACAGATTTTAAGTACTTTAATTTTAAGTTTTTTGTGATATTTTTAGTCACATGTATAAGAGTATGTAAGTCACATGTGTATGAAGTCAGTGGTGGCCTAGTGGTTAAAAGGCCCTCTTCTCATACATGAGGATGCGGGTTCGATCCTGGCAAGTATTAATGTGATTTGTCCAAGTCGTATGTACTTTCCAAGAGTATTTAGACATCACTGATTAATGCATTCCCAAAGAGAGTTGAGGTCAGGCAGGCGGCTGGTCGTAAAACCAATTAGACAAACCTATTCACAACATGTAAGGTAGACCCTGGCTAAAGCTGGAAAATTGATAGGTAGAAGAAGAAGAAGTATACGAGTATGTATATTACAAATTTTGCGTTCAAAAATACTCAAGAATTCCATTGTTAATTTACTTACTAGTGATACCATTTCTTAATATTAATCTTACAGAAATACAAATATAAAAAATTGGGCTCAACGTTATCAAATACCAATTTAAAATATAAATATATGAAATAATAAAATTATATTACAGAGGTAAAAGAAATTCTTTAAAACGCCGGCTATGTGATAAATATGTTTTTATGAATATTTATTACTAACAATTAATAAATAGCAATACTTTAATAATAAAATAAGGTAAATAAATGAAAGCAAAGATTTTAAAGGTATGTAACTTTATTAACAAAATGTTAATAGTAAAAAAAGACCTAAAAGGTGGCAAAAATGTTCAAAGCGGTTTTTATTGCATTAGCAAAAATAACATGAAGGTAATCGGATGATCTCCTATTTAAATGTTATAGGAAACAATAAAGTTTCTTTACTTATTGAGTTATAAAAATAACGATATCCCTGAAAGAAGGGTTTTTTGGCCAAGAAGATACTTGTAATTTTGATATTGTCATAAAATAAGTTGGTTTTTCGTATGAATACTCAAATCCTTCCAATAATACTCTAAATATGAAATTCATTTTATCTTTTTACTTTTGCAGCTGACTATTTTAACTTTTTGTATACATAAAGCCAAAAATATACGTAAGAAACAATTAATGACATGCTCAAAGCGTAATATCTCATATTTTCATTTCCAGTTTCACCTTTTTTACCAATAAAGCTACTGTGCCCTGACTACTCTTTAAATTAAGCTTTCTATACCACTGATGAATAGTCACTGCATGATACCTAGTTGTTAATAGAAGATACTAGTAAGCTGGTTAAAATACTTTATAATAAAGAACATCATTTGAATGTCGTAGATTCAATTAAGCTTGTATTGATATATTTTTTTTTATTCCATATTTCCTATTGTGATTTTGAATATAAGGTTTTAGAAATCATAAGTGAAGCGTTAATTTTTTTTGCCAGAAAAATTACCCAGAACGCTAAAAGAAATAACCACAAAAGAGCTATTTAAAGGTTTTTGTGAAAGAAGGCACTAGCTAGGGCTATAAAATCAAACCTCAAGCCCAACGCTATCCCTAAAATGGCTTTGAATTGGACTATAGTGATGGATACGTATGAGAAACAATATAAAATCCCAGAGGATATTTATGCGTCGGCGTCAAGACTGAATTCTGTATTCGCGAATTTTAAAGCGCGTTGTGTTAATAGAGCTTAAGGTTTCTTGGGAAATCAACGTCCCAAAAGACCATGCCAACAAGGTCAATAAGTATGTATTACAAGCTCACTAACGGACTAACTAAGAATAGGTTTCGTCATAAATTTGTACGACGTAGAAGTGAAAGTGAGAGAATTATTAGCTAAACCTATCTAGAACCTACAGAAAAACTTGGGCTTGTCCGGAACTAACTAATTCATTTTTGAACGTATTTTGATGGCAGCCCTTCTAAAATTTACAGTTTAGTTTAAAATTTGGTTAAGCAAGGAGAGGAGCTTGGACGGTGGAGATAAGCGTGTGACGCTAGTTAAATTCTAAGTTTCAAAACAGCCATTTGATTTTATTCAGTTATCATGATAAAATTTTGTCCATCTTGGTCACCTGTTATCTGCCAAAGGAACCACGAACCAGGTTTCGTAGGTAGGGATCATTCTTACTCGTACCTGTCTTAAGGACACATGGAAGATAAAAACCTCTGACCCTAATGAGCTGTTAGACTATATGTTATTTTATAGAAACGAAATATTTTACGTATTCATTTAGTTATTTTACTCCAATAAATTTTCACTTACTTTGCCAAATGATACGTTTCTATAAATAAAATCCTATATAAGGTTTTGGGTTCCCTTCAACGATCGCGAAATCATAGAAATGCGGGGGGTAGATGTTATTTGTGTTTAAATGTTCCATACATATCATGAAGGGTATCGGTAGAAGGACATCACACATAGGGTGAGACGTAAAACTTCAAAGGTGTCGATAAAATTACTCTGATAAATTTAAATTCAGTTTAGTTATGTATATATTAGAACAGCTATGATAAACATTTAAGGGTTATATGATTTAAGGTCCATTTAGTTTATTTAGTATTATAATTTGATACTAATCTAAGCTTGGTGTTAATTAAAGTTCTGGATCCATAACAACCTTTACAACTTCCTGGATTTTATAGATAAAAAAAATTAAAATTAATTCCACTTAAAAAACTACGTATCAATTGTAATTTAAAGTACCAACAGTTTTTTTTGCGTATTTTTCAATGATATGGCGATGGAAGTGTAATATAAAAAATTACATTGTTCTTCTTAAATATATTATATAATGGAACAGTTAATTCTGTTTATAAAATATATTTTAAATGGTTCAACTAAATTAGGTTGTTAATTGATTTGTATGCTTATTTATAATAATATATTTTTTACATTTTTCTTAGGTAACTCATAGGCTTTGTAAATAAGTTCACTATGTTTTTAATAAACACTGTTCACATTTCAATTACAGGTTTTGTTCCTCACCATCACTTATACTATATATTTTCCCTCAATATTTTAATCTTTTCCTGTTGTTCTGATTTTTCAGTTAGATTTTCTGTTTGAAGTATTAAGCCGAAGGTTTTATTCATACAACATTGTGTAGAAATAAAAAGGTTCCAATTAAATAAATAAAATATATTTGTGAGTTCTTTTGTATTTCAATGACCAATTTCCACGTTATTGAAGGTATTTAAATTGGTTTTTCAGAATTTCAGCTAAAATATTTTTAGAACTGTTCGGGATCTAAAAGTTAATGCTTTTGAGTTGATATCGAATTGCCCTCTGGCGGCTATTAATTAAAGTGTGCGATGTTTCAGCCTTTCTTAGGATTCTTGGCAATAAATTTGTAGAATAATTTTATCAGACCGTATCTTATTTTCTATACAAATACAAAGTACAAGATACGTCAATGACCACATATATTTTAATGAATCATTGTAACAAAGTTCAAATATCGTTTAATAAATTCCAAGTTTAAAACTTTAATATAACATATCTTTTATTAAAACTTGTTTCTATATTAAATAATTCACAAGTACTCTAAAACAATGATAGACAATTAACCAAAAATAAAACTTGTGAACACAAATAAAATTGAAAGAACTCCAACAAATAATCAGAATCATAGTTCATTTTTCGTTGTTTTATCACGTCCCCAGTGCTCTTTGTTCCAATCAATAGCATTGTTAACTAAAGTAATTAACGCTAGGTACCAGAGGTCGTCCAAACATTTAGATTCATTGTCATCCACTTAGATCAACTTTACTGTAACGATGTTCGTCATTATAAATTTCAGAGTCCTCCGGTGTTATCGAAATTGGATTTTGTTTTATACAAAGTTTCTTATTAATTTCGTTTTTAACTGTTTGCGGCGAAGCAAGGACACTTTGTATGTATGTCTGTGTATCGATGTAAAAATGTCATATTATTATTTTTTTAAACCGAAATTATATTTAATATAAGTGACTTACTGATTTGTTATCAAAAAAGATAATACTTTGGTGTTTACCAATAGGTTGCAATCTAATAGACATAATGAAAAATATTTCAAATGAATAAAAACCAGGATTAAAGAGAAAAAACAGTTCGAGCCCTAAGTTCACCGAATGGAAAAAGCAAAACATACCTCAGAGTGGTTCTTATATTTAATCTTCCTTCTTTCTTTGTGCATTGCTTATAAGCAATCACGTTTTTATTTTCAAACATTTCTTTATTTTCAATATAAAAAATTAAATATTATCAATATTTTTGTCTTATTGTTTTATACGCTCAATCTTTTAATATATGATTTCGAAGTATTCGAAGACTTATTTACTAAATGAAGTAATTATTCATATAGATTTTCTAAGTAAGAAAAATTTATCAAGGTGAAGTAATTAATTTGAGTTATTATTATTGCTGGTCTTTTTTTCTACTATTTCTATTTCTAAATCTATTCATTTTTGTAATGTCCTATACTTTGAAATTTATAATTGAATAACGCAATTACTTTAATGAATTTGATATAGTAATGAAAAGTGTTTATACATAATAAAATAGATAGAATATTACGTGTACATTACGTACCAATATCAATTCAATATCAATTTATTTCAATAATCATGGAGGTTTTTATTTTAATGACAAAATTTGAAAGAAAATTTTGGTATACAAAAATTGGCCAATAATTCTTTTGGGTTAAAATTATGAAAATTTGAAGTCAGTCGTTTACTTTTTCACCAGCTATTTCATACCTCCTTTTTAATCCAATTAAATCATAGGCTCGAATGTAAAAACTACTACAACACATTATTCTGGAAGTTTTAAAAAACTGCACGTGTACATATTTAAATTTAAGCGTTATATTACTTGAAAATTAAAACTTAATAAAAGATAAGTTTCTTATATGTTTATAAATTTTGTGTTTCATCTGTTAGACGACGAGTATAGTATATTAAATCAATTTTTCGCTGTAGTCATAATATTATTCTGGCAATACGTTAGCTGTCTTTTTTTTAAATGTTTCGCCATAGCTTACCTGTCATCGTACACGAATCCAGCATCTAAAGTGTTGTAGTATAGTAGGAGAGCCAACAGCGAGCTCGCTGCCGTCACCCATTGATCCATTGTGACAACGCTACATCGATGTTTCGACTCCTCCCTGTAATAAACTAAACCTTAATATATTTTACTCAGGAAACTTCCAATTACAAATGTTCAGAAAACGGGTCCTTTCTTTCTACTTCTCGAAAACTCAACTTTGAAGCTATGACATGTACAATATCAAAAAAAACATATTGTATATAAATATTAACTTTAGTAGTTACTCTAATATTAATATAAGAGTAACATTTACCACATATTAAATATGTATTTCATTACGAATATATCGTACAGATTTAATATATACTTTGATGACATCTTTAAAATAAACCGAAGATTTAACATGTAAAAAATATTTACTTTCCATTGAACCGTTCAAAGTATAAGCCTTAATCTTCATCCTTCAAAGCTGAAGCTTATTATTTTCTACAAAAAATAAATAACGGATCAACTTAAGAGCAATCCAAGACGATGTTTATTTTATCGGGTCAGATTATTGCAAGGTACACAATCTATGAAATGTTAGAATAATACAAATGGAATAAGGAAAGTGTTTTATTGGAAATGAAATTGTAAATTATGTTTCATGAAATATATTTTTTCAACATTTTATTAATAAGTACATTAAGAGATTTAAAAATATAAGTGTCATTATCATTAGACATTATAAATAAGACTAACTTGTGAAACCACACTCAATATCGTTGGAGACAAATATCAATTAATATTTTATGAAACAATTTGCGAAAGGACGAAAGAAAATATAAAATTTATTTCCTTTCATTCTTCGTAAATAAGTGATTCTAAAGAACGCATTTCGAACATTTTTCACGTCGTCACATTAAGCAGATTTACGTTCAGAGTCGACTTCATTACTTTAAAGGTTTTTTCAATTTTTCAGATTGTATTAAATAATGAATGCGGTTTAAAGCTAGCTATGGGATCTTATTTGAACATTTTTCACGATGTCATGTCTGTCTTCCGTCTCCGGTCTCTCCGTAGTGGAACAAAAGTTATCACGTTAACAAGATTTATGTTCCGACTGCATCCTGTTTGGGTCTGCGTCGATCACTTTAAATATATAATGCATTTGACTTAAAACGGCCGTCGCTGGTTGTAACGAATCGACTGAGCTATTCTTTATATAAAATTTATAATTTCATTATTATTAGAGCAAGTTCAAATTTAAGGGAGAAATATGTCCTATGTATTTCTTTTTAGAATAGTACAAGCTATGAAGAAATGGTTATAAAAGACATTTCTGTCATTCACGAAACTGTTTTACAGTGTTTAAAATTTTTCTTATTTCAATTAAGCTCTGTATTTTTCCAAACGTTTCCTTTCTCCAAGTTGATCTTATTTGTTCTCTATTATGTTATCATTAGATAATACTGATAAAACTTATATCATACGATAACACATATTGTTGTAAAAATAAATCACCAACGATATTGTTTCGCGAGGAAGCTAATCTGAACGAACGAGTAATATCTTCCTTACATTTGTTATGGCAGAATGAACCAATCGACCAGAGCAAATAAAGCGAAGTTTCTGAAGCGAAAATAGACAAAGAATCAGATACAGGTAAATAATCCCGCATGAGTTGGGCAGAGGAAGCATTTTCACGATTATATCCAAGGTTGGCTACGAGCGAGCGAGTCGAGCCAAAACTGACATGTTTACTCAAAGCGGAGCACAAGTACGGAGTGCCTTAATAATATTAAAAGGAAACTTACGTTTTAGTTGAGAGACGATAAACGTCACATTCATTGCTGTTATTGCACTTTGAGTGTCTATTCCTATAATTGATTTATAGTTTTAATTTTATATGGAAATAAACCAAATTCACTGTTAAAAGGAGGGTCTAACGGTTGATAACATATATGACAATTCATAATAATTAATAGTAAAACAGCCATTAGGATGTTCAATTCTTATACAGTTTTTAATATTTGTGAATGTGACGAATATTACGTTACATATTTTTCAGTCTGCTGAGTTAGAAAACCAATATCTGACTAAAGAGCTCATAAACTAAATTAATTTTTCAAATAATAATATTGGGTTCAGATTAAAATATTCTTTTTTGAAAAAAATTCTAACCATCTTTTTAAAAACTTTGATAATGTAAGTGTTAAATACTTTCATTTCCCTAAAATCTTATTTCACTATTAATTTGTTAGAAGGTACTTATCATATTTCTTATATAGAGAAGTGGCACGTAAAATCACATATCACAAATACTTTTATGCCGCGACTCTTTCACACAAGATTAGCGCTCAATTCTTAGGTAAACGGCATTTCGAAGGCCATAAATTTCTATGGCTCGTTACTCTCGCGAGAACGCAGAAATTTATCGGAAATTAGTTCGAGAAACTCAAACCGAGTGCGAGATAAGGATTAGATGCGGTCAGGAGCATGCATTCTCTCCGCAATTCTCTTAGCTATGCACTTCATCTCTTTATTATTTACTAAATATATATAAAATAGAAGGAAGAGATTGAAAGAGAAGAACTGGTGCAGCTTAAAGGAGTGCCGTGCTAATTATGACGCGTATAAACATGATGTTTAAATTAATAACATTTCAGTGATATCACGTTGATCAAAGAGTTACAATATTGGAAAATTATATTAAAATTTCAACATTATGTGAAGTATATTCTAGTAAGGTCTTTTATTATGTACATCAAACTGTGTCAGATTTAAAAAATGTTTCTTTTAAACCGAGCACGAATTTATATTTTAATTGCATAATCCTCTTTTACGTTAGTAAAAAAGTTATGAATAACGCTTTGACGGAAACCTATCATTTCATAACAAAATGACCGAGGGATTGAAGTCTAACTTGTTTTCTAACAAGATTATAAACCTTAACCGTTACTAACTATTAATTGAAGATATTATTCCTAAAAATAGGTGAATAAGGACGATTAATACTTATAATTAAAACGTAATATATTTCTATAATTCAATTATCATAATTTCATATACAACAAAATAATTGAAAACGTTAAATTCATACTCATAATAAATTCTTTAAGCCTTTTATAATTTCTATTCGATGTTCTATAACGTACGTTTATGCAGATTATTTCAATCCTCCATCAAACACATTGAATCACACGCCAAAAACGCCAACGTGCAAATGAGAGCTTATACCAATATTGGCTATTAGCACTACTATACGAACGAAATTGAAATATGAAATAATTTATGAATACTGTGACATATTTTGCAATATTTTATGCTGCTCTCATGGATTTTTTCATAAAAATACTTTTTTAAAGACTATTCCAGCAACTGACGTATAATGTTTTTATAACAGAATTTCGTATTCATTTTAAGTTTTGAAAGGAACTCCTCTAAAACCTTCAACGCAACGTTTTTGCGCAAAAATTTACAACCCGCGTAAAAATCTTATCAGACGGCGATAAAAGGCCTCAAAGGTCCGACGTTTTATTTGTCGATATTACTATTCGATTTCGCAATCACACTTATATAGAATAAAAATATAACAAATTTGTTTACATTAAAAAGAATCTGTAATAACGTCATTAGTATGCCATCTATCCACACGCTATTCCACGTGCCGGTCGTTAAATAAAACGTTCAATATCATTGGAGCCGTAAACCGGGTATGAGATCGCAGATGGGGTGACAACATATCTTGAATTTTCCAACATTGTTCTGAACCACATATACATATCTGCCTATTAATAACATATTGTATCCAGGTAAACTTTAAGTTACAATGTGCTACAACTGGTACGAATGCTACGAGTGCTACGTGTGCTACGAAACGTTAAACATAAATTTCACCGACGTGATTTTATTTGTCTACGAATTTCCGTGCAAATAAATAAGCAAGGAAGTTTATTGTTTGCTAATACAACCCCTCATAAATATCTTAATAAAAAGAATGGTCATTTATAAAATATATTAGGTCCGTTCTAAATTTATTCTGTCATAGTTTTGTTATTTACTATTAACATTGAAAAATATTTTTAAGATGTGGATGGAAAGCATTGCTATTTATTGTAATAAAGGAAACTGTATAATAGTAATCAGGATTTATGCGTTAGGGATTGTGGGCTGACGGGTCCAAAACATTACGTTTTATATTACATCCGCTCCAAATATACTACGACCCCAGAGACCCTAACTGTCAACAATTTACCGGGCAAGCAAAATAAATGTATCGTTATCTGAACAAAATCTTAGATGATTACCTTCCAGCTTTATTATCCACCCTTTGTTCACTCCATTTGAGAATTTATTTTATTTCTACACTTTATTAGTGTCCCAAAATCTAAATCTTGATAAAATTCAAAACTGTCCGTTAAAGTCAGTGCGTTCATCTAATAATTATTTTCGAACGTATCTATGTAACATTCACATTCGCACGTGTCATTTAATCGGGCTTAATGATACGATCACTACAATGGTAAACGCGAACTAGGTGACGTGTGTCACGCGAGCCCATATTCAAGTGGTCTCGGCGGTGGCTGTTCACCGACTGACGTTGGTGTACACGACACATCTGCATTTAAGAAGCCGCTATCGTTATGCGACTAATCGATTGGTCGGAGCGAGTACAACTGTCTCCTATCCCGCTCCCCTCCTTCTTCCTCCTATCTGGCGCATGCGCAGTAAATAAAATTTTCTTTTCAAAGTGCCAGGAAGTAAATAAACTCGAATGAATTGTTTGGAAAAGGATAGCGAGTTGTTTTTAAATGTGATTAATCTATTATACGTTTATGTCACAGGTTAAATTTGAAAAAGTTTGAGTGATGCTAACTGTTGAATTTTTTTAGCAAAAAATGTTGTCTTAGATAATGTGGAAGGCCGATGTAACGTCACTTGTTGCGCGGTGACTTTGTTCAAACGATGAAAAGCCACGCACGTCGCTACACGCCATTTCCATTTAGATGATAACAATTATCAGTGTTTTCTTTTATTTACTAATTTGTTTCGTTACATTTAAATAAATATGTTCATTCGTTGTAATTTAAACGACAGTTAAA